TATTTGTTAAATTCATAAAATCATGAGCTATCTAGTTGCATACATAAAGTTTTTACAATAAATATGATTATCGCTGTACAAATTTATAGAAGAATACGATTGTCCCATAAATGTGCCGTAAAAGTCTTTTTTATGAATGTAAATTCAAATAAATATCCCAAACTGTAAAATAAAACTGTACGTAATTACCACGAAGTTATTGTTTTTCATTCGTATATAGCTATTTATACAATAAAAATATTTATGCAATGGACAAATTAAAATAAATACAAGATATAAACTAAATAGTTTTAAACAAAGTCTATCAGTGAAGTCGTCAGAGTAGCGACTTAAGCCCCACCAATCAATGAAATTTGTCCTTGAGAAATGTACATTATTTATGGCAGTACAGTCAGATTTCATGTTTAATGCATTAAAAATTTCGACTTTCTTTTACCATTATTAACCTGTATTGATAGTAATTAATAGTGTACTGAACAAATAATAATTTTTTTAGAATGTAAGATTGGTTCTTCTTTTACCGTTCCTAATCATTTTTGATTTGGATCAAATAATAATTTTTTCATGGCTGTTGCAATTAGTATCTAATAGAGTAATACTATGTATTCGAATCTAAAAATTTTGAATTTGTAAATTTCGTATATATTGACGATATAACATAATACTTTATAAATTTACTATTAAATAACGTCCATTTTGCTTTTTCTCTCTATTTAATTAAATACAGGATCATAAAAGCTTGGCAAAAGAAAGTTGCACATTGACTCGGCAGTTTTGGATCAGTTCAGTTACTTAGATTAAAATAGAATGCGTTGAGCAGATTACTCTGAGTAACTAAACTTTGCTGTTTAGGAGTAAAGTGTAATTGAGAACGCTCAGACGGTAACATAATAATAATAATAATGATAATAATAATAGTAATAATAATAATAATAATAGTAATAATAATAATAATAATAATAATAATAATAAAGTAACTTATTTTTTTGCTTCTTCAACGAGAGCGTTTTAAACATTTAAAAACATAACAGTGAAATGGTATTTTAATGTCTATAAATTGATTTCAAATATTCGCATTAGTACTATGAAAGTTTGTACATTCATCAATTCAACGAAATTCAATGTATAATTCTATTGCAACAAAAAAAATTTAAATACCATCTAGCACTTCAAACACGATACTCCCGTTATATATACAGCAGCATTGTGCGGTATTGACGCATGCAGTTTCACCAGGTGGGGTCCAGCCACACGGCGATCACATAACCATTTATAACAGATACACAATCAGTCGGATAGGCCTTGACGAGCGACGGTAGCTAATCACTGTCAAGGTCACTTCCCGAAGGTCATTTGTTTTCTCGGGATATTCGCCTCCGTTTTGCTTGCTCTGCTGCTTCAGCTGTTACTAAAACAATGTTCCCGCTGTACGAGGTGTCTTCAATTAAAATGGTATGTGAAATGTATAATTTATAAACTATGATTCATTAAATACTTATTAATAGTATAAAAAATGTATATAATACTACATTTGAACATATTTCTTCAACAATGTTTGAAGTATATATTGAATATCTATCTGTTTAAGTATAAGCCGTGTTTATAATGTGTACAAACTTTACATACCAGCACCACTTCGAGTTTTCCGTCTAGTTATATCTTCCGTAGATCTAGACGCACCCCTTGTATTGCTTGCTGGTGTGGCCAATGGTGAAGTTGTGTTCTGTCGAACAGATCTTCTTGTTGTTACTTCTCCTAAGGATTCATTATTGGATGCGGAAGTGCCACGTAGCCTTTCCTTTCCGCCGGTTACTACCGCGGCTGTACTCGGTTGCTTGGTGGTTAATAAACGGCTCTCTCTTTGCACTCTATTACTGGCATTGAAATTTGATATATTACTGGAATTAATTTGACTGCCAGAAACAGTTGTGCTTGTATTTGTTCTAGAATAACAAAAATTTATTTACGTACTTTTGATCTTTAGACTTTGGAGATGCAGCGGATGTTTCGTCTGATAATCGCATTCTTGCTTTTCCTACAGATTCAATCAATGGCTCATCATCAGACGAATCTACTTCTACCACAATGGGACCTAAAAATACAAAAATGCTTGCATCAAAATATTCTGGTCCAATTTCAGAACAACATTAATAAACAATGATAAAAGTAATTGTTCATTACTTATGAGAGACATGACTGAGATTGAGAGATGGTTGTCTAATATTTTATTATTTATGCAAATAAAGTTAATATGTATACATTTGTATGTATAAATACAGATAAATACATACAAAATTAATGTACGTCAATTATTTTAAATATGAGCAAATTTGGAATGATTAATTATCATTAGCACTTTCATTACCCTGTTTTTGGCAGTCCTTGTTATTTTATAGAAAAATATAAGTAAACAAACACATATCTAATATCTAATAAAATTGTCTTGTATATACATAGTGTTCCATGTAATTTTATCACCCGAAATATTTGCTTTTTTTTTTAAATCATAAAAAATGTTTTACAGGAGACATTCTATGGCGAAAACAGTTTTATTTTAGGTGGATGTATCTCAGAGATATTAAGATCATTTTTACTTATATGCCTTGTAGCACCTGTTAAGACGAGTTCAACGATCTAGAAAAGGTGCATCGAGGTTACTAAAAGTAACCATTAAAGGTTAAAATAATTTGTTCAGTAATTTATTCGTTGGTTTGCGCTAGAAATTTCCGTTCTTTATCTTGTCTCGTTCTTGTTCTAAAAACTGTACACCCTTTCACATTTATCTTTTTTTTATTGTTCAGTAACTACTGAAAATTTATTTATTTTTTTTTTATATTCCATAAAAAATCAAAGATTTACTCAGGCCTGGTTATTGCCCGTTTAGTGGCCAGATTTACATACATCAAAATGGCTGAACAATTTTCAATTGTGTCCATTTTGAACACCTTCCGAAGAAATGAGAGAAATATCTTGAAACACTTTGTAGAATAGGTCATTGAACTCACTTTAAAAATTGTTATCAGGTACTGATAAAAAAAGACAAACATCCATTTAAAAAGATGGAGATGACCTTAATATGTTCTTAGTATGTTCTTGACCACCTAAAATGAAAATCTTTGCATCATATGATAATCCCCACAAAACCATACGCCTTTTGTAGGAAAAATGTTTTCATAATTCTAAAAATAGCAATGTTGTAGGTAATAAAGTTACATGAGATACTCTGTATATGATATACCAACACAGGAAATGACATTACTAAATTACTGAGTGACAATATAAAATAAATGATTTAAGATAAACACCTTTTTTAGCCTTGGCCAGTATGTTGAATCCTTTTTTTGACTGTTCTTCCTTGACAGGTACTTGTTTCTTTAAAGAAGCAGCTTCATCTACACCCATGCAAGCTTTAATAAGTTCTGCAGCATTTTCTGAACATTTTCGTTTGCCTGGTCTTGGTTGTGGATCATCAGCAGTGCTGGATGCTACAGAACTTTCACTTTCTTGACGTTTTCTTTTCCCCACTTTTATTGTCGTATTAGGAGATAACTTAGATACTCCTAATTTAGGACTTGCTTTAGCATATGGCGATATGCTGCGTCTCTCCTCTAATTTATTAGGACCATGAGGACTACTTTTTGGAGTCTTTACAATATCAGGACTGTTTAATTTTTGGGATCTAGTTCTTAAAGATCTTTTTTCATTGGTGTCATTTGGTATTTCTATTAGAAGTTGTTCCAGCAATGACTTAGGTGGTCTTTTAACATAATCATCTGAATTGTTAGAGTTTAACCTTTCCACAAATTGTGTTTCATCATTGTCTTCTATACATATGACATCTTGTCTTCCCTCTAACTCTTGTTTTCTCCTACGTTTCCTTTTGACATGTTCAACATCACTGGAATCCACTTCTGGATTTTGTGCTGCTGGGCTTGGTGTTTCATCTCTTTGTAAAACTACCGGATTAGAGTACGTATACAGTGGTGGGGTAATTCTAATCGGCTGAGGATCTTCACCAAGAGGTGACTGAATACCTATATTTATATCACTTGCATCATTCACAATTTTCTTAACCAAATCATCTGCAACTTTTTGAAGATTCATAGAAGGCTCTCTAACAGATATTTGTTGATGGCTTTGTACATTAGATTTTTGGTTTTGATCGGAACATTGTTCTAACTTAACAGGTGTTGCGCTTAAAGAAATGCTAGAGCTTTTCATACTATCTGATCGATCATTTTGCCTTGTATGATCAACTTTTTCATTGACATTAGATTCTACTTTGATTTCGGAACTAAAATTCTGACTACTGGAACATGAGTTGTCTGCCACCACATTAGCCTCATTAACTGTATTATCAAGTTTTTCTGTCTTTACTTTATTATAAGCAACATGATTTTGTATTACAGGCACACCATTGTTATTTTGTCCATGAGGTTCATCATTTAATCTAATTGCACTATTACCATCTATGACTGCTTTTACATTGTCTTCAGATGCACTTTCGGGGGCTCTTGACACTTCATGTTTAATATTTGTCTTACCCTGATCATGCTGGTTGATAGAAGCTTCTAATTTAACGCTACAACTGTCTTTTTCAGAAAAGTCATTTGTTTGCTGCTGTGCGCATTGCAATAAGTTATCACTATCCACAGTACTGGGTACAGAAGTTGTCACAATAGTCACAGATCCTGTCACTAGAGGGCTTGATACACTTTTATCATTATCAGTCACTTCAAAACTAGCAATCAAGTCACTATGACCACCAGTTCTTTGTGTTGTTGAAGTTGAGTTTTCACTAGATACATCTTTTGCGTCATGTTCACTGGAGTTCGACATATTGCGATTTAAATGGTTTTCAAGATAACTTGCTACAGACACAGGACTTAACCTTTGTGGGCCACTGGACTTCAGAAGTTCCGAATGGGAATTTGAACACATATCACTACTACTAGTTGAGGAAGGCACGTTCTTATTGGTGATTGGTAGGGAAGATTCCCCTTGAACAACAGCCTTTGTGCTGTTTTGTGTTACTGATTCAGTCGCTGGCCTATGCAAAGGAGATTCGCCTTGATTGGGTGACTTCTCTGACAGAGCATCCATTGACTCAATGCCTGAATCTTCACCACCTCCTCCACTGCTGACTCTTTCAACACTTGCATCTACTCCAATTGCAATTGGAACTGTAGTATCAAGTAATTTTTGCTTAACTTTTGCTTCTGTTACGTTAATTTCTCCAATTGGTAAAGTTGGCTTGCTGGAAGGTACATCAACATTTTGGGATCTGGGAACTTGGTACACTGAGTTTCCTATTGCTGGATTTTGTGTAGTCTTCAATAAACTAATTCTTTGTGTATTTTCCATCTTACTTTCTGCTGTGGGTCGATCAGCTTGCTTTACATGATTTTGAATCACTTTCTTGTGACTAAAATGTTCTATTTTATGTCTGTTGATAGCAGTATTTGCATCACTTTTTAAAACCATATGGTTTTTTAACTTTTGACTAATAGTCTGTGTTTTTGCTGTAATATTAGAATTTGTTTTACAACTATCCATTTCTGTTTTATTTTTTCCAGAAATAATCCTGTTTACAGATGACTGCGTATTTTTCACAGTAGTTTCTACATGTGCAGATACTTTACTTTCAACATTAGTAGACAAACTTGTATCATTCTGCGCAGGCATGCTTGAAGGTACTAATCCAGAGCTTTCATTCTCAAATGATGAATTACTGGTAGATTTTGTATTTGTATTTGTATTCATACTTGTATTTGTGTTTGTATTTGTATTTGGAACTGCACTAGCGGAAGAACATTCAGGAATGGTCTTCTGACTATTAAAATGTGTAGCCTCTGCATATATCTCAATTGAAAAACTTGAAATTGCAGTTTGATATTTACCTCCTAAATGCAGATCTTTTTCATCCATTAAACTTAATCTTCTTCTTTTCTCTTGACTAATTAAATCCTTTTTTATACCATTCACTTCTGTTAATCGTGAAGCAACAGCATTTAAAGTGTTATTTTTTTCGATTGCGGATCGAGTAATATCACTGTCACTCGTTCTTCTAATTTCCCCTACTTTCTTGACAGTATTGAAGTCATTGCCAGCCAAAGGAGCTTCAGTTTTTCTTACAGACTGGATCGAATCAGCTTTGTAGTTAAGTTTTCTCCATTTTGCTTGGTTATCTAAAATTCTACCACCAGACAACAAATTTTGTTCACGATGTAAACCATCTCCCGATTCTGATTTCTTTTTAGAATCTCTTCTTTTGGTCTTTCCTGTAAAATGAAGAAATAATATAAAATATTTCTTAATAGCAATTTTACGAAATTCAATATTATAAAATAAAATATAACTAATGCAATAAACCGTTTTAAAATATTCTGTAACAAAAGCAAGATATTAATCATTTTTACTCTGATCTTTAGATATATCTCACCTCCTCCTATTTTATGTTCTTGCATATGATTTTGAACATCTAGTTCAACTTGATTTTTTGTTAATGATTGTTGTGTGTTCAAAGGTTGATTCAAAACGGTGGACTTATGTTTCGAAGGGGAAGGTATTCGACTGTTTAACGGTATATCATCGACATCGCTGCTTTTACTTGAACTTGGCTTCGTAACACCAGTCTGCACGCGTACAACATCCACTGGTAGTTCTTGTTTTAAGGCATTCGGTTTTGATACAACTGTTTGAAGTATATTGTTCACTTTGCTAATAGAATTAGTGCTATTGATCATTGTGGAATTGGATAAGGGTAATTTGGATGCGGACGAAGTACCTATAATCATACTCAGAGATGACTTTTTTTGCAACAATTTGTTCCCATCTATGCATTCTTTCATTTTCTTCAACTTCCCCCGTCTTTTTATACCAGTCAAATCGGATTCACCGTCTTTTAGCGATTTCTTTTCCTTTTTTCTGATTTGTACTACCGAAGCATTACGACCTCTTAAGGAAATGTGTAAGGGAGGCACTCTTGGCTCATCACCAGTTCCTGAGTTGGGAATACCAGTGGTAAATATTTTATTTACCGATTTATCGGCTTTTCTAATGGGTGGCGTGTTCACAAACGAAACATCAACTTTATAAGCTGGCGTGACAGGCTCAGATTTTTCTAATTTTAGCCTTAGTTTAATTTTCTCGCCGGGCATCGGACTCTGCGTGGTTTCTCTATTGGTCTTTATCCTACTATGTTTCAAACTTCCCTCACTGGCAGTAGATTTCACCGTGGTTTCGGAATCCGATTGATCCGTATTTGTTGTTGTATCGTTTCTTCTTGAGAAATTACTGTCTGCATCGTCGTCGGAAAATATGGAATTCGATCGGTCATTTGATGGCGATGGAAAGGAAAAGAAATCATCTTGGTTGTCTACCGCGCTTTCAGGTTCGGAATCGGAACTTTCGCTAGGCATCGGTTCCAGATGCCCAGTTAAAGGATTAATAAGAAATTGTCGTATTTTACCAGTCGATGTATACTCTGGTTCAGGCGTCTCTTCTTTAGGCTTCGGAGATTCAGAAGCTTCGACCTTTATAGCAGGTGAAGCAACATTACTATTAGAAACGTGATTAGCGTGAGATCCGCATTGAGAAAAGGCACCTGAAACCTGATTCGTAGTTGGCACACGGGTAGTATTAACCTGAGTACCTTGTGGAATAGAATTATTTTGTGCGTTCCACGTGGTCCCATTAGCATTACTAGCTGTAGCCTGATAGTTTCTGCTCAGAATATTTTGACTTTGCCCGTAACGGAAATCGGTTGTGGCGTTAGTGTTAACGTTCATATTTTTAAGTTGATTATGATGTAACTGTTGTTGCACATTCATCACTTGATTCTGTTGTCCTAAATGGGACTGTGGTGGAACCGGTTGCCGCGAATAAGGAGGAGGAGTTTGTTGACGTTGATTATTTAAGTAACTTAGCCGTTGCTGTGGAACACTCATGCCAACTGTGGAGTGCTGCATCAATTGTTGTTGTGGCAAAAGTGGTTGATTAGAAACTGACGTAGGCTGTAACGACGTATTTACATTTTGCTGTTGTACCAAAGATTGCTGTTGCGTAGAAACCTGTTGTGTAAGCAGATGCGGAGTATTCATATTTTGCTGTTGATTCATTTGCTGCTGTTGTTGTTGAGTTAAAACTTGATGTTGCTGTTGTTGAAGCAACAACTGTCGTTGTTGCAAAGGTGTTCTAATTTGTTGCCCATTTACCGGATGCCTAATTGAAAGTTGGCTCTGTAATTGTACTTGCGAAGGTCTATAAGCCAATTCTTGCCTAATGGGAAACTTTTGCTGTATTTGTACTTGAGCATGCAACGAAGCTGCAGGTTGTTGTATTTGTCCAGCAGCAGGTGCTTGATGAACTGCTTGTTGCACTATATTTTGCGCGGCACCACCAATTACATTAACTGAATGTTGTTGGGGAATAGTTGAAGGTTGATTAGCATTAACAGTTGCAAATGCAGATGTAGAAGATTGAGATAAGTCAGGAATGACTGACGTTCCTCCGATAAGGTCTTCCGTTCTAAGAGAATCTAGATTCGGTGGTGATTCACTAGGAGAGGATAAATCTTTTCTTCTCACTGTTGGTTTTTTAGTGGGTTTCATACGATTTGTAAGTCCAGTACTATCGATAACAGCTGGTGGTAACATTTTTTGACCAGGTATCACATTATTCGGGTGCGCGCCAGCATCATTTTGTAAAAGATTTACAAGAAGTGGACTGGATAAAGCAACTTGATTTCCGTTACCGTTTGAATTCCCTGCCAGATTATTATTGTTTGGTGACAGACTAGATGTGGTGGTAATTGAAGACTTGTACTGATTTGTCAATTGACCGACTGATGCAACTGATTGAGTAGTAGTATGACCAGCAGTTAATGTTGTTACTGTCGCCAAATTCTCTTGAGCAGGATAAGGCGGAGGTGGTTGTACATGATGCTTAAATTGCATTGCATTTTTAATTGTGGTCGCTTGAGATTCGCGACTATGTATCGCTTGGGCAGCATGTGTCATACTGGCAAATGGGAATGGACCATTATAATTATTCCTAGGCGAAGCACTGGGATTAGTTACTGGTTGATTTCCAGAGGCACCAACATTGCTATTGCCTGATACTGACTGTACAGATTTTGCAAGAAATGGTGGGATAGGATCACAGTCTGTAGGTGCAACTACATTCGGAGAACGAAATTGTGGTGCTTTTTCCGATGATGTACCTAAAATAATGTAGTATATATAATACAATGCATATAAAAAGTTCTTTAATTTTATGAAATATGTAAAAACATACCAGCTGCGATTATTTGAGCCACATTACGTAATGCTGAAGAAATGCTAGATGTATTACTTGGACCAGGTAAAGCTGTTGAAGGTTCATTGTCTGCATTAGTTGTATTGCTAGTGGGTTCATTTTGAGATTTGGCACCACTGTCTTGTGAAGGTCCTGAACGTAACACAATTTCCTGTGCCTCTCCACTAAAGCGGTTGGCTATCCTTAATGATATTACCTATCATAACCAATAATATGCGAGTATTGTATATTTTTCAAATTCTTTTTACACTTGACTATATTTTAATAATGAAATAATACAACTATAAAAATTCAAATTAATTAATCAAAACATACAAAATATTTAGTTGATTAATATCAACTTATATTACCTGATCTCCCTCAACCTGCACTGAAAGAATTCCAAGTTGTGTAAGTGTTGGAGAACCCTGAGCTGCTAATTCTCGAAGACGTAATGCAGCTTCTCTGGGTATTGAAAATGTGACTCTGACAGAATTCCATGGCTCTACTTTATTTACTCTTAAACCATCTCCCTTGTCTATAAATCATAAAACAATGTATACTATATTTTTATGTATTGTATTCAACACTTAAAATTTAAAACTGATATATACAAAAGTTACCTTTGCAAAGCAAAGATTTAAGACGATCAACAATGATTTTAAATTTGTGTGGAAACTCTGGATCTTCTAGGTTACCCTCACACGTTACAACTGTTTGAATTAGATCACCATCACTATCAGCCGCCATGACTACAATGTACAATAAATTGACACTTTATGTACACACACACACACGCACGCACGCACCCATATATATAT